AACGTGCACAAACAATACTGAGTTTACAGAACTGAGATTGAAAGCTTAGAAAAAAATATTTACATTAATTTGTAAATCACGTAAATTTGCTTGTCAACGAAGACTCGGGCTGATAAACAGACCAGGAAATGTGTGTAATAGAAGTTGCTCGATTTTCTTGGAGATGGCGTTGTATTCAGACAAGGCCCCGCTGATCTGAGTGCGTTCGGAAAGAAACAATAGATCTGGGCCCCGATTCTCTAACTCACTCATAAGAGAAACGTATACGCAAACTCAGAGTTACGAGCGCTTATATTTGAAACTCTATTCTCTTAACTTACATACGTATACGCATTGAAACGTATACGCAGATTTACGTATGAAATACTGCGAATGGTCCGAAGTATTCGTTTCTCGATTACGAGCACGTTTGCGAATAACTGTCAGTAGACAAACAATTTTACTCGTAAACATAAAATGAACGTTTTTAATAATTTCGCTGTTGCACATGTGGCCGATAATGCACATGCTCAACAAGCTGTCGCACGGCGAAATCGTCGTGCAAGACACATAGCAGCTGATGCATTTAATTTGGATGACAAAAAATTTTTAAAGTTATTTCGTTTAACAAAACCATTAGTGCGTTAAGAGATTTAATAACTAATAAGAGATTTAACACCATACATGAAGCAGAGGCAGCGAAGATCTATGTTGGATATTAAAACAAAAGTAAGTATAAATATAGAAATTTATGTACATAAATGGATAGAATTATATTACACGCATAAAAAAATAATTCTTTCTTCTCAGAACAATTTCTATTTCTCACAAAAAAATTAAATTGTTCTTAAAGATAGAGATATAATCTAGTATGGGCGTATATCGTATAATGAGAATATGACGCATGTCTATGCGCTAGATTTCGTCTCTATCTTCAAGAACAATTTTGTTTTTTCATTTGTGAAAAATACTATCACACAGTATTATATGTTAAAATATATATGTCCAATTATATAATATTATTATGATATATACATCTTAGTTTAATTTTTAATTCTGGTTTATAGGTATTGACAGCATTACATTTTTTTGCATATGGTAGTTATAGACGGAGAGCTGGCTACATGGGGTGCGACATGCCTCGGTGCATGAAATATTTTTCCTGAAAAAGGTTCGATTGCTGCCAGCAAAGCGAAAGCCCGACCGTCAGAAGGCGCGCTGGAATGCTGGAAGGTAAATGCGTGGGCGGACGATCAAACGTGTAAATTGTCCAACTAAAAAAACTGTCGATGTGCACGGCTGAAAATTTACATAGACATCGAAGATCATGAGAAAAAGCAGTAAAAAAATTGTCAGAAGGGTAAGTGGAAGCTAAAAGGTTGTCAGAAGCTGCCAAAGTTGCGAAAAATATCGGAAAATTTACATTTTAAAGAAAACTTCTGACAATTTGAATTTACACTGTTTACGTATAGAGCAAAGTATGTGCAAAGTGTCAGAAGTTAAAGTAGAAGAGATTATGAGAAAATCGGGTGCGAAGTGCAAGAGCGTATTTCGGCGCGCGGCGCAGCACCGATCGCTTTTCTTTTGATTTTCACACCGTACATATTTTAGAGCATTTCTGACAATTTATTTGATTAATCAAGGGGGACTTGAGAAACTATTATTAAAGTGTCAGAAGTCAATTAAGAAGAATTTATAAATTTAATTAACAATTTATTGTAACAATAGATAAAAGATAAAGGCTCTCTAGAAATAATCTGCATAAAAATCTTTCAATGTCTATTAGAGCCGACACAGGATTTAATGTGTAACAATCAATTTATTAATAATTAAAAATGTCATTAAAAATTTATTAATAAACACTAAAAATTATATCATTGTGACATAGGTAAACGTTTCGACCCTATTGTTTGGGTCCTCTTCAGTACCAAAAAAAAACCACAAAAAAAATTTGTATAAATAAATGTGTAGAGTAATTATGTAACAGCAAGATTGAAAGTTGCGAAGATTGTGTCCATTATAAATACATGACAAGAATTTGGCAGAATTGCTATGAAACGGAGAGCAAAATGTTAATAATAGAAAAAGATTAAAAACAATTTAAAGAGAGCATGTCATCGAATGAGTAAAAAATTGCGAGACTTACATGTCATGAATAAGGAAATGGGCTGACGTACGTTTCAGAGATGCATCCCGTCATTAATTGAATAATCACTACACAAATAATGAAATATAAAAATTTAAGAACGAATTAATGATAAATTATGTAAACGATTATTATATAAACGAAGAGAGCTTACATGACGATAGATTTGACCCGAACTTAACCATCAGAAGTCACAGTTAGTAATGAGAGATTTCAGAACAAAGTCAAACAGACGAGATACATTTCGTAAATACGTCAACAAAACAACACCGATAAATCGAATATTAAAGTAAAACCGGTAAAGGAGAGAAGTCGGCGCAAATAAACGTATAGTCAAAGCTATAAATAAGTTAAACGGATACATACAAAAACTTAAAAAACGTAACTGAGATTAATAAATAATATGAGTCAACGCAAGTAAATGTATAGTCAAAAATTAAGTAAATTAATAATAATTAAAAAATGTCAATAAGAATAAAATTAAGTGCAAAGGTCTGAAATTGAAAAACTCAAATAAAAGTACAATTAGAGTTATAAATAAATTAAACTGGTACATAACAAAAACTTAAAAAATATATAAATGAGATTAATACATAAGGTGAATCAACGCAAAAAGAACAAAATATTTTTTTACTTTTAATAATAATTTTTATAAACAGACATTTGTTGTACCAATGGGGTCTCCACTGTCCCCCATTGTGGCGGACATTGTCATGCAAGAACTAGAGACTCTTTCTCTAAACAAATTGTCAATTGCACCTTCTCTCTACATAAGATATGTTGATGATATTTTGTTAATTATCAAATCTCTTGATTATAAAGAAATCTTAGACACATTCAATTCTTACCATCCTCGTCTGAAATTCACTATGGAGGAGGATGGAGACTCCATAAACTTTCTTGATGTCACTCTAATGAAGGAAGGTAATCATATTATCAATGATTGGTACAGAAAACCGACGTTTTTAGGTCGGTTTTTCAATTACTATTCTTGCCATCCGCTATCTCAAAAAATTGGTACTATATTTGGTTTGATAGACAGAATAATTTTGCTATCCCACCCTAAATTCCATAAAAAAAATTTTGACTTTATTATTGATGTATTATTAAGGAACGGGTATCCTCTAAAACTAATTTTTACAACTATTAAAAAGAGACTATACAATAGATTTAAACAACTTAACTACCGAAATATTCCTTGTGATGATATTCCTTCTTCTGCTACTGCTCCTTCTTTTGAAAAATTTTTTATAAAAATTTTTTATAATCCCCTATATTCCGTCTATTTCAGAAAAAATTAAGAGTTTCTTTAGCAAAATTCCGGGTTTAATGTTTGCATACAGGGGTATTAAAAAATTGAACTCCTTTATTAGAGTACAGAAAGATAAGTTACCAACAATGTCTCAAGCGGAAGTGGTCTATAGATTAAATTGTAAAAACTGTGATGCCTCATATGTGGGCCAAACTGGGACATGTGTTGGCGTAAGAATGTCAGAACATAGAAACCATATCAACAGAAACACCA